AGGAAAAGGGAAAGAAAAGGGAGCCAGAGCGAGACAGAACTCGTTGGTTCGACGAAGGGAGGGCGCCACGGGCGCGAGAAAGACGCAAAAGTTGAGGGAGGGGGGCGACAGCTGAGGGTGGGGGAAGGACGCGTACGTCCCGAACCTGCCTTAATTCCAACTTGACATTCGCGGTTCAATTCTGATCGGATCGATCTAACTAGCGCGCCAGCGAGCAAACCAGCCACCGGTATTTACTGTTTCTCTATCTCTATCGCGATCTTTTGTTCTCTCTCGCGCGCATTTTAGTCACGATTATTGGATTTCATCGAAGTTCGGCCGATACGACTACTTTCTTCACGCATCCATAGCCGTTTCGGTAAATCTGTCTTGTATCTCGTGGCATGCGAAATAATTGCGTTGTTTATTTTAAAAATAGCGTAATTTGAATATGGCGAAATATTTACTGGGTATCTAAAGTTTCATATTGAAAACGCATCGCACTTCGAGCCTTCAGTGTCGATCGACCCAGCGATTTTTATTTTTGTTCCCATCTATCTGTGTGCAATGCAAACAAAATTTTTAAATAAAATAAAATGGTTCCTTTTTTTTGTAGTGAATGGAGGGCACCGAACATTTTGAATGTGAAAAACGTTGAATTCTAAATTGGTTATTTTTGGTAGAATTTTATAATTTGTATACGAATTATGTACTGTGAATATTTTGAAAAATTTTCGTCGCAATTATAGTCATGAATAAAGTGATCGTAAATTCATACGAACACTTTATAAAATGAATATATACACTAAATTAAAGTGTATGATTTCTAATCTTTAAACCATTTTGATGCTAAATTTACAGTTACGGTTGATAGCATAAAGGTTTACGAGAAAAATGAATGGTAGAAACCAAGAATTATCAGGCAAGAGGTATCGTGTAAATACACACGAATAATATCTAATTATACAAATTGCCAATATGAAAAGATATTGTTTCTATTAAAATTTACGTCCAATTACATAATTATTTTCATCGGTTGAAAATGACGCAGGTTACAGAGGGTTAAGTGCTCTCCGACACTTTTGCTTTTCCTTTTTCGATTTCACGTACCATTGCGTATTACTTTTAATTGGATTCGATAATTTCCAATTCAATGTTCCAGTACGAAAAGATCAGATTTGGAAGTTGAAAGGGTATCATTACTGCAGAGAAATGTAAACGATAAATGCCCCGTTCTGATGCAAATAAATCGAGCGAATATAAAGCGATTAAATTACAGACGTTTTATTTTTAATGTCCGGAAAATAGCGCACCCGAGGGAGAAGTCTCGCCGAAAAAAAATAACAGGAATTAATATCGAATAATACGATCGAGGCGAGAAAGAATTGTTTGGAAAAACGCATTTTTTTAAAGATCGTTACGTTTCGCTTACACGCATCCCCCGTTTTTTTTTTTTACCAATTTTTCCACCTCGAAACAATTCCCCGGAGCCCGCGATCAAAACATATGCAATTACTCGCAGATTTTAACGACGTTTCGAACGGTCGCCCTACCCGGCCGCGCGCCCCGAAATTACATTTCCGCGTCAATTAGCCTCAACGCGAGTAATTAGACTACATATATCCACGAATCGAATCGAATGTATGCAAATATAATAATAAAATTAGCTACGGTCGCAATCGACACACTTTTAACGCGACCGTAACTTAAATCGCCCCCGAAACGCTAATGGAAAAACAACCAACGCGAATGGGAATCGATCCTGACACCGAACTTTATCCGCATGTTTTGTCTTATTTCATTTTAAAGGTAAAATAAAATAAATCCATTACAAGGGAAAATTAACGTATTTCCCGCTGTAATTATCGCTGTCCGCGTGCATCGACTAAAAAAAACTTTTCCAAAGTGTAAAGTCGCTGTAAATCGTACCCGACGATCGCGGTAACGAGAGTCAATAATATTTTAATAGTTCGCCTCCACATTATTGCAACGCGAAATAAACGACGGAGTCGCCTCTCGCAGGTTTTTCCCCATTTCAGTTTTTAGCGATCCTCGATCGAGCACGTGTCCGACCATGCTTTCCGGATACGCGATCCACGGATTATCTGTCCGCGCAAAGATATACAGGCCCAATCGTTCGACTACGGGGGAGAAAAAGTACCGCGATAAGTCGACTTCGACGAGCTCGCCATCGGATATCATCGATTTCCTCGAGCGACGAGTTTTGTGCAAATCTAATCGCAAGTTTAATAGTTTTCAGGAAAACATACTTTGACGATCATTTATATAATTATAAAAGAAGACTGGTAAGGTAAAATCGTTTCCAGATAAGACTATCTTGGAAAAGTTCGCGAACGATTAAACGCAAAAGCGTTTTACTCCAATAGAAAAGGACACCCCAAAAAATCTACGAAATACGATTCGATTTCTGTCGATGCAAAAGTACCGGTGTTCGTTCAAAAAGAGAAAAACCGAATCGAAGCATATACTCTGACGCGCGAATCTGGTAGTTCGAAAAACAAAAATCTGGAATAACGACGCAGCCGGTGGTTAATGAGTCAATGCGCGTTAAGTGTCGCCCTCGCAACTTTTCCGCGTGTCCCCGGGACAAAATTCGCGCAACTCTTTCAATTAAAACTTTCGCGCGCGGTTCATCTTCCCCTTCCCCCGCTCGACACCCCCCTATCCACCTTCTCCGCCCCACTCCGCCCCGAAAACGTCCGGCGGGAGGGAGGGGGTCGGGGACGAAGGGGCGGGAGAAAAAATATTAGAGTGCGACGGAATAATGAGTTCCGCGGGACGAGTGGCTCGCGGCGAAAAACTCGACTCCAATCGGATTTTCCCGTTCGTTGCGAAAATTATTCGCCCTTCGGTGCTCTGTTTATCGCGCCACGGTTCGCGATCGTGCTCCTCGTCGAGAGCGCGCCAGAATATCGCACGACAGTCCGCGTTACGACAACCTTGAACCAGGGATGGGCATGCTCCAATGATTTTGTAATTGAAATACGTCTAGAATACCAACTTGTATCTCTCCTTGCCACTGATAGCGGAACAAATAAAAAAATACGGATATTCGGGTATATTCCGTTGGGGATTTCTTGGTCAATACACTGGTAGTTTTACCAAATTTGGTTCACCCAACTCTCAAAATGCAAATTCTCACCTATAACATTTAATTCTCTTAGTGGTTTCATTAGCAATGTCAGGAAACCTATTCGGTACTTGAGTCATTTGGGGAATATTTTTCGAAATGTCGATATTTATGTAGAATATAATTTTTTCGAGTTATTCCATTACCGATGCCAAAAAGATATCTTATTCTAGACACACGCGAGACGATAATCGATACAACCAAAGATCATGGTCGGTACATCTGTCTTTCAAAATGGAAATTTTTTTAATGCTTGACCTATCGGATTTAATTTTTGGAATTATATTACTATCAATGCCAAGAAATACGATTTATATATTGTAAACTGTTGCGATCAAATGTCGAGGTTCGCTTGTATTTTATAATGATTCATAATTGAAAACTCCTGGTAACTTAATATATAATGCATTGTCATATTTTATTCTATATTCGATATCTAATTAGTAAAAAATACTTCAGTTTCACTGAAGAATAGAAATCATTGTTCCAGGTCGTTTGTGGAATGCCACTCAAAAATTCGAAACATATTTCGATCTTTAAAATATGTATACCTTTTTTCGTATAGTTTAAGATGAATATATAAGACTGCAACAGTGTTTGTTCGTACAAACTGTCGCTTAATAACGAAAGGCCGATGCCACTTCTCTGGGAAACGATATTGGAGTAAAAATAAACGATTGATAGCCAGAAGAGGCATATTCAGGAAAACGATTTATCTCGGTATTTTATTTTTCTTCGAGAAAGAGCCAAGTCATTTCAGTGAACCAATTATATTATAAATATCTGTATTTTTGTAAAGATCGAAGATTGTTCAAAAATATTTGGGCGACAGTGCACATAACATTAGGATACTCTTTGCTCTTCGATTTATAAAAGCGCAAATATATAAACAATTTAGAACTCAATAAAAAATATGTACTATTACTTATTTCTATAAAATTTAAAGAGCAAATCTGATGCTAATATCATGTACCCACGACCACGACACGCATGTAACTGTTCCGATAAAAATTTTTCCGTGGTCCATGTATTCGTTACCTACGTTAAAATATTGTAGACTCATTCAGCTGTTAAGTACGAAATGCCAATATATTCGGCACTGTTCAGGTATTTTCAAGATACCTGTGTACTCCGTATTCGTCGAAGTTTTGCAGTTGCACAGCTATCGAATACGACAGGCATGTCAAACACGCGGCTCGATCTATTCGATTTTACGGTCCGCTACTCCATTTTTAATTCTTTTATTCCCCGTATACTGTTATCGATGTCTCGGAGCAAATATTTACGTACATAACTTAATTCAAAAATCGACCTTTTTCTACGATTTTATATAAAAATTTTGACGTTTCGTGGCGTGTCAAACGGTGGCAAACATCATCGAAAGAATCAAATAATAAAAAACAATTTTGTTCCATGTACCTACGCCTGTTTACAATCTTATAAACACGCCTTTACATAAACGTATCATTTTACCGATTTCAATAATTATACACACGAAATGACCACTGTTGATATAATTGAAAAATTGCCCTCGAAACATTTATCACTGTTGTCGAACAATTATACGAGCGACACGAGCAAAGCGTACATTATCGAAATGACTTTGACGTGCCTGGTATACAACATGCGAATACGTTTAACTGTAAACGGAATAGAAACGGTTCGTCGTACGAATAAATTTTCGAAAAAAAAAAAAAAAATAGAAAAATATACATCCGTCGTTGTTTCGAACCTGCGGTCGCGGCGCGTTAAACTTTGACACACGATAAAATTTTTTACCGGAGCAGGAACATCGACGGCTGATTTACGGAGCCCTCGCCGCAGAAAAAGTGCGATCACGTGGCGATACGGTGGCAATCGGTCGACTCACCTTGTGGTGCTGCATGATGGCAGTGGCCTTTCGCTTGGCGGACATATTCAGTCCCGACGCGCGTGTCTTTCTTCTCCTCGTGGAGCGGCAATGGTATCTCTGTCTCTTTTCCGCCGCGTCTCCGTTCTTCCCCCGATCCTCTGTCTCGCTCGTGCCCTCGTATTCTCTCTCGCTGGCGCACCACCCGCGCGCTCCAAAAACCACCGTCGATCACAAAAAAAAAACAAAAAAGTCTAACGTTCCTTTCTCGCTTTTCCCTCCGCGATCCTCTGTCCCTCTACGCCCGAGCCACGAGGCGATAGCGGAAACCGTGGAGAACCAAAAAACGCCTCGAATTCGTCCCGATAGCACGTTTCACCCACGAACTTTCTCAGTGTTCTATCGTTTCTAACCTCTTCTCCGTCTGACGCTCGCGCGTTCTGTCTCCTTTCCGTTGGCTCGACGCGCGTACACACAACGCGCACTCTATCCTTGTCTCGCGCACCGCCGCGAACTTTAAGCTCGCGCACAACAACACCACGCAGCAGCGCCGCGAACCGCCGCGATAAAATTCCCGCGGTCGTCGCAGGTGTCGGCGATTAGACTTGCGCGAGCGAAAAAAGGGCAACGAGCCCGCACGAAAACCGTCCCGTCGTCGTGCGACACAGATTCCTCTCGCTGGCCTGTGCGATACTCCAACGGAGATCTGTCTCTACGCAGTCCATCGAATCGATGCAACACTGCCGGAATCAGCGATCAGCTGGCCGATGGGAATGCTCGGTCATCACAGGAGCACACGCCACTGGGAAACGTTCCACGCGAAATTCTTTCCAGCCAGCACGATGTTAAATGCCTTCGGTTCCCCGGTTGGGAAGGGAGGGGGAGAAATGTCACGCACTAACACACGGGATGACCCGTCGCATCGACGAGCGGCTCGCAGCAGAAGTAAACAAGACGAGTCGTGCTCCGTTTCGCAACGATCGTTCCTCGTGTGTACGTCGCGTGCCCGCGCACGCCGCGGTTTTCGACTTCTCAGTTAATCGACGATATTCTGTAGCGATCGTCGTTCCTGTCGACGCGCGTCGTAGGGAACGCGAGTGCGTGGAAAAACAACGCGACGTTCCCCGTTTCTACTGGCGAGAGTTAAGAGAGCGCCTCGCTCGTAGACTAGATCATAAAACGTCCTCACATCACGAGCGCTCACGGCAAACTGGCGACTGGCGACGCGGTGGCGACCCCCCTCCCCACGGCCACCTCGCCCTTTCCACTACTCTCCTCACCGCCTCCGCGCCGCTCCCCTGTAGCACTCGACTCCCCCACGTCTCCTCATCCTAACCACGCCAACCTCACTCCACGTTTCTCCCGTACCTCGCTCCCCTCTTTCCTCTTGCTTGCACTCTCGTTGCCTCTCTCCCTCTCTCTCGCCAACGCCGTTCCCCTCCTCTCCTTCCCCATTCCCTCGTTCGGTGTCTCTGTCACTCCTTCACGCCGCGCCCTGCTATGACCCGCGCCGCTCTCGCTCCCCAACGGTCCTCCTCGAACACGTCAACCCTCTCTCCCTCACCCCCTCGTTCCGTAGCTCTCGCTTCAACTCTCCTTCCTCTCTCTCTCTCCCTCTCTCACGCGGCCGACTGTCCTTCTCTGTTTTCCTTTCTGCTGTTCCCAGCGCCCTTGCCGATTCCTCTCGACCCTCCCTAGCCCGCGGAGGCGGCAGCGGAGGCGGTAAGGTAGGGTCTGTCACCATCAGAACACAGAAGAGGCCGCTGGACGGGTAACTCCAAGGGAAAGCAGGGATTGAAAGGGGCGCAAGGGGCCGCACACGGGCATCCATAGGGCTTTCGGTGCGACAAGGGGGATGGGGAAGGGAGTACCTTTGGCTGCGGGTGACGGGACGAACGGGGGTGAGAGGGGGGGGAGGTAGAGAGAGCAGCGAGGGGGCAAGGGGCGCGGGTACTCATCGGCCGAAGGGGCTTCTACGGGTGTGTTAGGCTTGTGCTTAGGAGGGTATGTGTACCGCTCGTCTCTCTGCACGAACACGCCTGCGACTGTGTGGATACGTGGACGTACACCGGGATCCGTGGTCTCTGTTGCTTGCCATCTATCTGTACGCCCATCTTTGTCCCCTGCTCTCTCCCTGGCACGTTGGTGTGCGATATCGATGCATTTTGCTCGTGTGCGCCGCGGCTTGCCAGCGCGCCCCGATGATGACGAGTCATCGGAGCGCCGAGTTTCGAATACGCGTCCCGACCAGGAGGATATTTAATGGTCAGTTTTTCGAGGCTAGTTGCCGGAGGTAACGGCGATCGACTCGACCACCTGGGGGGCGGGGGGCTTCGATAAGGGGTACGACGCCCGGGTGTCTTGGCTGTACGAGTTAGGCCCGACTTTAGGAACGGGGAGCAAAGGGACTTTGGGTTGAGAGGTTTATAACGGGGACTTTGCACGTTCTTGTTGGAGGGGTTAGCTCTCTGCCGCGCGACACTGGTCTTAGGATTCGTTGGAATACAGTTCTGAATAGTTAGGTCTGTGGGCTCGATGAATGGAGCGTAATAACAATGTGAAAGGAGAATCTTTAACACGCGGGTCAGATCGGACTTTACTCTAGACGTAAACACTCGCTTCTTCGATACCTGACGCACCGTGCCTTGTATCACGTTAGAGCGATATCGAAACGAACACAACTACATTTAACTTACTAATGTAACAAGTTACTTACCAAAATCTTTCACTAAATATAGAATTTGTTCTCAAAAGGTGGACTTCTCCAATATGCAGTTCCCGGGGATGAAGTTTTACAACGAGCTGACGGAAGATTGGGTCTATTTAAAACTAAAGCTTCGGAGCAGCGTTGGAACCACGTGAGTACTCATCCAAATAAGTAATCGTTGAGATTTTATTATATACAGGATGTAGATAATGGACCGCTATTTTTAACCGTTCTACGAAAACGTCGGGTCTGAAACTTCCGAATTTTGAATTCTGAAAGTTCTTTCCCCGACTGCCCCGGCAACCATTACTAACTTTGGTACGTAAAATGAGATTTCGTCCAGTCTATATTTAACGTACCGGCTTTTTGGTCGATCCTCGTCCTTTTTCTGTAATATTGACCGACATTCGGCGTACACGTCGTTTCGAGAAGCTCCCATCGAAAAGGGAACGTTATTAGCGACTTCGCGTTTCTATTCCAGACGAAACGAAGGCGTTCGAATTAATGTCCCCGTCTCTTGGTCGGTAATCAGATTAAACGGTGTCTGCGGTTTTTAAGCGGTGCTCATTAGCCGTTGAATTGAAAAGTCGCGAGCGAACGGAACGAAAATAAACCCGCGTCCCCTCGGCGCCGAGATTGTTTCTAATTCCTTCGCGTCGATAGGGGGTGGAGTCACCCTTATCGGCCTGGCGTACGCGATAACGATCTAAGCAACAGTTTGCCGCGGGGGTGGAAAACTTCGGGACACGAGGAGCATAAAAAAGGTCGAAACTTTCCGGCGAAAGTGCAATTCTCCGCCTTCCATTTCGACTCCCTTCGGCGCTATCGATGACACTCTCGGTCACCGTGTACGGAGAAATCGAGCGCTTTTGTACCTTTTTCCACCCTGCTCGAACTCGTTGTTTCCGCGAATTGGAAAGAAATCTAATTCGGTGTTCTTGACTTCGAAAAATTTTCGGAGCCCTCGGCCATTGCGCGAGCATATTCATATTTAAGCGTTTCGATTTGATGTTCGAGTCTTTTTTGGTACTACTAGGTCGTAGATTAATTATAGAATAATGATATTTACATTTAATTTTAGTCGTTGATGTATTGACCAACGTTTTTAATGATTTCCATTCTCAGTCATCTTTCTGATTTTTTAAAATATGTTGAGGATTTAAAAAAATTGATTTGTAATAAATAAAAGAGAACTTAGGGTTAGTATATTGACATGCAATCCGCTAAGTCAAGCCAGTGACAACACCCTGTAAGAAACAAGGAGTAGGGTGAAGGAAGTCCCCTCCCGGCGTGTTTTTTACGAATCGTTTGAGCCGGATGTACAACGTCACGGAACCCCTACGAAAAACTTGATAGAGAATCCATGTTCAGGCTCGATTGCGCAATTCTCGTGTGCAACCAAGCAAATAGGCAACAGGATAGTCATATCGACGCCGACTAAGTTTCTTAATCGACAGTTCGAATCACTATCAGAGCATTAGAACAAAAGGAATCACTTTAATTCTTAACTTTATCTTGCAAAATCGCAACTTACCCCGCTTTCAAGCGAATTGCTGCTTCCATGTAAACATCTATAAATATCAAAGTATTTCATTGGTATATACATCGACTCTCAAATAATTGCCAGAATTTAGAAAACGTTCTTTCTCGAACGAATAACAAAGTATAATTACTTCCTAACCACGCCAATTATTCGCAATTAATTCACCTGTTCGATTGCGGACACAAATTCGATATCTCTTCGTCACTTTCAGACCTTGCGCCTCCATATAATATTTTCTACATAAAATGTCCGTCCCTCCATAAATGATCTACTCTCCTTTTTACGTTCCATCGTTCGTCGTTGCTCCAATTTCTCCGGATTTCGGTTTCGTTCCTGTATCAAGACGAGCAGGCAGCGCGCCAAATGATTTTCCTTAACGCGCAAAAAGCCGCGAACACCACCAGAAACGCGTATATCCGCGATCTCGCGGGCGCAACGTGTCATCCCACGATGGAACAAAGACCACTCGACCCGCCGTGTACCCCCGCGCGCATTCAGAAGCGTCGAACCGAGCCAGCCACCCAACCCCCCCACAATCCCGAACAAAAAACGACGTTCCCGTCCGTGTATGAAAGCGGTCGAATTAAATCTATAATACCCGATTCAACCCCCTCCTCTTCCACCCCCCCCCCCCCCCCCCCACCTACCCACCCGCGTGTACGCGTTCCGTTTTCCGATGCGACCATAATGCAACGGCCCAGGATGACGTTCGGTCAGCTCTCCCGGTACTTAATACTCCCTGCAACCCGTGTAGACTGTGATCCATTGAAGGGACTTTCTGCTTTCTTGGATAAAAGAAACAGATTTTTTTCTCTCTCTGTATTTTCTGTTTGTTGTACGCGAGAACCAGTTCGAACAGTCATTTTTATTCGGAGTCATCTTTATTTATAATTGAGAATTCTGGGATATTCTCATTTTGGGGGATGTTGATTTTTAAAATGAATTTTGATATTTTTCTAGTTTGATTGGACATTTTTCAGGGTGACAGAGTATAATTTTATAGACAATATTCTTTATTATTCCTTAAGTATCTCGTAAGGTAGTTCTTGCTTTTCATTTTTCGATATATTGTGGGGTGCTGAAATATTTTAGAGCATCTCACGATAATAGTTTCGTTTTTGAGAATACACGATGCTATGAAAGGGTTGAGATGGAAATAAATTAACCCTTAAGTGGATTATTGGGGCCACTGCAACCCTCTGTGAGTTTAAACCAACAATTATTTAATATATGTCAATGTAATTATTTGAAAATAGGTAAAAATCAACATTAAGTGAAATAATTCAGTTAAGATTCAGAGTCCACTTAAGGGTTAAAGGTTCCCTCTCGCAAGGGAGGTTTGCAAACTCGAACACCGGTACTTTTGCCAAAGAAAATTACTTTGAGGGGGTGAGATTATCCTTTGTAAGGGTGTTTCTTTAAAAAATAACCGTAGAAACGTAACGAAAGAAGTAAAAAGAGTTTTCTAGGGATATCGAGGCATTAACAGATCCATTTGCGCTCCCATCGATGCGAGATACGCGCAATTCGCGTAACGCACACCTGGACACACGGCGAAGCGTCTGCTCCTAGCGCACTTGTATACACAGTGTGTCATCTCGCGAGCGAACAAAGTCCACTCGGCATTAGACACCCTTGGTTTCTGAAGCCTTGGGCGGCAGTCCCCTACCCTTTGCCGGCACCCTTGTGTATCCTCTCTCTCTCTGCCCGACCCGCGACCCTCCTTCCCCACCCGTCCATCCACCTTCATCGTCTTCACCCTAACCCCCTCTTGTCTTCTCTCTCCCTCGAGCCGTTCCATCCACCGTCTACGCTTCTCGTTCCCTAGAGCAGCCCCTGCCTGCCAGTTCCTCGCCCTCCTCACCCTGCCACCGTCGGCCCTGCGGCTCCTCACAGTCGACCCCCCTCCTCCACCACCCCCGCCCGTCCGCCCCCCTACC